CATCTCCCCGCGGAGGGGCTCGAACGGGAGGCCGAGGAAGCGGCACTTCCGCCCATTGGTCAGACCCGACCTCCGTGGATCCTGGCCCCGCCCACAGTCCTGCTGCCCGGGCACTGAGCCTGCGCCGCCTGCGCCACCGCTGTTAACGCGCGGGGACCTGAGCCTTGGTCCAGCGCCTGAAATAATCCACGAGGGGCGTGGCGGCGCTCCCAGCAGTCGGGAGGCAAAGGAGTCGGGGCTCTGAATTCTGGGCTACCCTGGTCTACATAACGAGTTCTAGGCTAGCCAGGGAGACCCTTTCTCGAAAAGGTAGTGTCCCCACTGAGGAAATTCACATTTTCTCTTACCTTTTGACAGCAATCTTAAGTTTTGAGCCAGAAAGTTCTTTTAAGGTCGATCTCGTTTTCTCTCTCTTGTCTCTGACTCTGTCTCTCTTTCTCAACGGGGGCGGGGAAGGAAATCTTGGCGAAAATAATTTGTCAAACAACTGATTAGCGACTTCGGTCCTGCAGCTGTCCGTGCATGGATTTCTCCATGCTACACTTACTTGTTATTTCTGTTTACTTCCAAAACCCCAGACTGACCAGGGCCTTTCAGTTACACAAGCTTTAAGGGTTGATGACTTGAAGTGTTTATCTCCCCATAATCGAATACCTGACTGTCTACTGGATATCGCTACTGAATAGATGTATTAATAGACACTATTACTAAATGTGTAAAAAATCAAGTGTCACATCCCCGTAATTATATCCACCAAAATGAATGATGAATCCATCCTTCCAGAAGCTTAAACTTTGAGGTCATTCTTACATAGCCCTTACATAATTCATCATCAAATCCTGTTGGTTCTACTCTTGTATTTCTAGAACCTGACTGTCACTCTTGTTGACCACAACTATCCTAATCCAAGCCCCCATTCATCTCTCCTAGGTCCCCCTGCCCCCTTCTCCTCTGTAGGAGTGGGTAGGGAGGCCTTCATGGGTCAGATTCCTGCAGTGCCCTTCTGTGCCAGCCAGGATGAAATCCAAGGTTCTGTCCTCTTTGACTCTGTCATCAAGTGACTTTTAATTTAGCCAGCTAGTCTAACATCCCTGACTGATGTTTTCTGAATATGTTACGTTCCTTGCCTAGAAAGGGGGTTTTATTAGATTGGCTCACACAGTGTGTATGGTCTAGGTAGTCCAACAATGACTCTCACACTGGAGAGGATGAGAATCCCATAGTTGCTCAGTCTATAAGGCTTTCTCTTTCTCACAGTGCCAGTCTGGTGCTGGAGAAGACCTGAGAGCCAAAGAAGCTGCCTCTATTACCAGCAAAAGAAGGCAACAGGAACAGGATAGATGAGTCGCCAGCGAGGGCAAGCAGACCAAGAACAGTTTCTTCCTTTCCCATCTGTTTATTGAGGCTGTCACCAAAAGGTGCCTCCGACATTTAGGGTGGGTTTTACCACCAAAATAAACCGATCAAGAAAATCCCTTACAGAAGTGCCCAGCAGCTTGCATTCTCGTTGATTCCAGGCAGATACAGTCAAGTTGATGACAACCGAGACTAACACAGGTGGCTTTTCCTCATAAGCCTGCATAGTCTCACATCCCTCAGCCCGCTATTGCTTATTATTATTGCTGTCTTTATTCTTCACAACAGCTATTCACTGAGTACAACAAAACTTTTTTGTTTTAATGTCAAGAGCTCTTCCCACTAGATTAAAGCTCTGGAACAACACAGATATTTGCTGTTGTTACTGTTAATTTTATTCATCATTCTATTCTTAGTGTCAAGTACAATGCCTGGCACACACGAGTGTTTGAGAAGCATTTGTTGAATTAATGACGAGTGACAATCATAGCAGGCACTCAATACTTTATTAATAGGAATTATTTAATTTGTTTATTTTATTTTACTTTTAGCACAGAATCTCACTCTGTAGAGCAGGCTGGCCTCAGACTCTCTGAGATCATCCTCCCTCTGCCTCCTTAGTGCTGGGATTAAAGGCGTGGGCCATTCCACCTGGCAATCCACCCGTCCTTTTGAGCATTGGCCACACATTCTTATTCTTCACAGCAGCCACGTTGTTCCCACTTTAGACACAGGGACTACATTGTTTGCATGTCTGAAGGTACATAAATTAGAAGTGGAAGTCTTCTCTCAAGTTAGCTATTCGGTACATTCCTTTTCTGACTTTTCTCCTGCATATGTGATCACGTACCAAAAATAGCATTGCACCAGGCCCTGGATTTGATCCCAAAACTCTGTAAAACAATAACAACTAATAATTATAATAATAATACTTCATTGTTTTAATCCAAAACCCTGTAAAACAGTAACAACTAATAATTAAAATAATAATGCTTTGTTGTTCTCTTTACTGTTTTAAGGTAGCCGTTTCATGAATATTAGTAACAATGTATATTTTAATGACTTTGTACCATTTGTTTACATATATGTTAAACTACTTTTTTTCTTGTTCCTTCCCTCATTCCTTCTTTCTTTCCTCCTCCTCCTCTTCTTTTTTTTTAACTATATAACCCTAGCTGACCTGGTAGACTCTGTAGACCAGACTGACCTTGAACTCACAGAGATCCTCCTGCCCTTGCCTCCTGAGTCCCTGCCTCCCGGGTGCTGGGATTGGAGGCATACACTATGCCTGGCCAGCATCTTTAGTTTTCTGATATGAAGTATCAAAACTCTGCCATGGATGCAGGACTTAGGTAGATAAGGGAGGAAGCCACTGATAGAGGGTGGTATCTTCATAATTTAACTTTGTGCTACAGTTTCAGCTCTCTAAACTTGTGCTTTTCAAACATTAAAAGGGGTTGCCTGAGCTATGGAAGGATTCACCGCCCCCCCAACATTCTTTCACCCTTTATTGTTTATTTTTTTTTGACAAAGGGTCTCACTCTGTGGCCCAGGTTGGCTTTGAACTTGCAGTTTTCTATCTTTCTCAATGCTGGGATTGCAGGCATGAGCTAACACACCTGGCTCTTCTATTTAAAAACCAATAAATGGGGATAGAGAGATGGCTCAGATGTTAAGAACACTGGTCAGTCTTCCAGAGGATCCAGGTTCAATTCCCAGCACCCACATGGTGGCTCCAACTCCAGTTCCAGGGGATCCGATACCCTCTTCTCACCTTTACAGGCACCAGTCATGTCCATGGTACTCAGACATACATACAGACAAAATACCTATATGTATAAAATAAAGAAAAGTTGTAAAGGACTAGTAAACATTAATATTTACTTGAAAGAAAGACAAATAACTCTGTTCATCATAAGTTCCAGAGTAACTGGTCACAGCCACTCCTCTGGCTGTATCCTCTGGCTTTTTGACTACATAGTTTGTTTTCTTCAACGAGACTGGCCACTGTTGTAACTAGAAATGTCAGATCTACTGTCTTTATATAGAATAATTTACTGCATAGATTTTTATGAATTTCAATGGCTTGTCTCTTACTTAATTAAAAAAATCATAAGTGTGTGTGTGTCCGTGTCACTGAATGCCATATGTCTGCAGGTACTCATGGAGGGTATAGGATTCCCAGGGACTGGAGTTAGAAGCCGTTGTGAGTCTTGCAACATGGGCACTGGGGACTGAACTCTGGAAGAGCAGGAGCACCCCTAACTACTAGCACTGCCTCATAGTTTTGGTCTTTAGCATATAGTATATTGTTGCACCAATCCTTATAATAGATTATAAATGGTCTTAGAATAAAAACCCAGAGCCAGATATCAGGGTGAAAGCTGAAAGATCAGAGAAGCAGAGCAAGCCACAGCCACCACCTCTTACTTCACCAACTCCTCAGCCTGAAAGAGCTTGATATCCTGTCTTCTTCTGCCTTATATTCCTTTCTCTGCCCAACCATATCACTTCCTGTTTCAACCTTCCTAGTGCTGGGATTAAAGGTGTGTGACACCATTGCCTGACCTCTGTGGCTAACTCTGTGGCTAGCTCTGTCCTCTGATCTTCAGGCAAGCTTTATTTTCTAGATTATAAACAAGGTATCACCACAGTATATGAAAGTAGTGTTATGCCCAGAACGTGGAGGGAGAGGGCCCCCCAAAAGACACCACGGAGACTGAATCCAGCATGTAAAAGCAAAGAGCCTTTATTTTCAAGGTCTGAGCTTGGTCTCTCTTGTCGGTCTGATGCAGCAGTGAGAGCAGAGAGCCCTGAGCCCAGGCAGGGTAGGATTTTTTTTATCATAGCAGAGGTTGGGGTGAGAGCATTTCCAGGGATCAGGACCCTGATTGGCTGACATTTGTCTAGGGGTATAGGGAATGTTTGAAATGTCAGGTATTTCTCCTTAGATGCAGTCCCCCGACTCCCAGGTCATGGCTTCTCCTGGATCCGGGTGGTGCCTGCCAGTAAGCCTGTCACAGAAGTTGTGTCTGGGCCCCTAAGCCTGTCATGGCAGCTGTGTGATCAAGCTGTTTTGGGACCCCAGTCACAAGTAGAATAACATACAATATATGGAAGTAGAATTTCATATATTAGAATTTAATATATGGAAGAGGAAAAGACTTTGGCTATTTTTTTTCCTCTTATGAAAGAATTAAGTATCTTTTAGGAAACGTCCATTGGCTCTATTGAATTCTCCTAAGCTTGTATATGTAGCTAGAGAATTTCTCTCCACCTCCTGCCAAGCCTCGCCAGTCGCGGAGCCCACTTATAAAATAAACACACAGACTCTTATATTATTTAAACTGCTCGGCCATTAGCTCAGGCCTACCATTGTCTAGCTCTTACTCTTATACTCAGCCCATTTCTGTTAATCTATATGTTGCCACGTGTTCTGTGGCTTTACCTGTTGCCTCTACATGATGTTCCCTGAGCAGCAGCTGGTGTCTCCTCCCCCTGCTTTTCTCTCCATTTCTTCTCTCCTCTCTGTTAGTCCCACCTATACTTCCTGTCTGGCTACTGGCCAATCAGTGTTTTATTTATACAGAGCGATATCTACAACATGTATATATAAATCCTTTCTCTTACCCATAACTCCTTAGGAACTTACCAATGTCTCAGAATGGTTGAGCTGGAACAGGCAGAGGCCCAGCTGTCCGAGTTAGACCTCCTGGCCAGTATGTTCCCAGGTGAGAATGAGCTCATAGTGAACGACCAACTGGCATTAGCAGAGCTGAAACACTGTATTGAGAAGAGGACAATGGAGGAGCGGTCATCACAAGTATATTTTACAATCAACATGAACCTGGACTTGTCTGAGGAAGCAATGGTAAACCTGTTCTGTTTGGAAAAGAATTAGAGCATGCTAAGACTTAAAAAAACAATGCTTATAGCATTTTTTCCCTCCTTCTCTTCTCAGGTGATGTTTTCTCTGTCCTGCATTCTCCCCTTTAAGTACCCTACAGTCCTGCCTGAAATTACTGTCAGGTATGTTACAGACCATGTCCACGGCGCATGCCAAAACTAATGAGAGAGTCAAAGTCATTCTTGCATCTGTTTTGTTTTCCAAGAAAATTGACTTATCCCCGCCCCCCATGTATCTTCCCTCAGATCAGTATCACTGAGTAGATCCCAGCAGACTCAGCTGAACACAGATCTGATAGCATACCTGCAGAAGACCTGTCTTGGAGATGTCTGTATACTGAATGCCACAGAGTGGGTTAGAGAGCATGCCTCTAACTATGTCAACAGAGATGCTTCGTCTTCCCCTGCCAAGGAAAGCCCAGCCCAGCCCCTGGATCTCACTCTCACGAGGCTCTGGATCTATAGCCATCACATCTACAACAAGTGCAAAAGAAAAAGCATTCTAGAGTGGGCAAAGGAACTGTCCCTGTCTGGGTTCAGCATGCCTGGGAAACCTGGTGTGGTCTGTGTAGAAGGTCCACAGAGTGCTTGCGAAGAGTTCTGGTCAAGGTGCGCTTTCACCTACATTAGATACCATGTCAATAATGATAACTTGAAAAACGATACTAGAGTTGTAGAAATAAGTATGTTCTGGGGGGAGGGATATCTTCGTGGGGACTCAGTCTTAAGTGGATGCTAAGGCAGAAGTCACATATAGTTGGCATTATTCTCCTTACCTACCACAATACACACTCCATAAATACACATTGAATAAATTAAACCCCTCCTCTGATGCTGTCTAGGACCTGTCAGTGTCCATGAATCTGTTCTTTTCTTATCTAATGAATATGATAAACTTCCAACCTATGTAGTGAGGATTCTTTTCGAGGATTAGGATAGACACTAGTTTTGTTTCTCTACTTAGTTTCTGAGAAGTTTCTTAAGCAATTTAAAAGTCAGAAATTCCTACAATTCTAAAATATGTGTGTCAGTGGCTAAGTTTGTAGCTCAGTTGGTAGAGCGCTTGCCTGGCATGCCCAAAGCCTTGGGTTCTATCCTTAGCACCATGTACACCAGGTGCAGAGGCATGGTCACATATCTTGGCCCTTTGAAGGTAGATATGAGAGGACCCAGAGTTCAGTACTACCTCTATCAAGATAGAGGCCAGCCTGAGAGTCACATGATCCTCTCACAAAATAAATAATTAAATGTTAAAAATCACAATAAAATTCTAGGGCCGGGCGGTGGTGGCGCACGCCTTTAATCCCAGCACTCGGGAGGCAGAGCCAGGCGGATCTCTGTGAGTTCGAGGCCAGCCTGGTCTACCAAGTGAGTCCCAGGAAAGGCGCAAAGCTACACAGAGAAACCCTGTCTCAAAAAACCAAAAAAAACAAAAAAACAAAAATCACAATAAAATTCTAATAGACGACCGTAATGATGACAGTAAGTGAGTGTTCGGGTGGGATCAGAACCAGAACCATTTTGCCCCTGTGAGAGTACCTCTTCATTTGCAGGAACAGAAACTGCTTAGCCATTCTTTATCGTTTTGTTGTAGTTTGTTTGGTTTGTTTTTCAGACAGGGTCTCACTAAATGGCCTTGACTAGTGTGGAACACAATATGTAGACCAGACTGGTCTTCAGTTCACAGAGCTCTGCATTCTGCCTCCCAAGTGCTGGGTGGGGTTGAATACATGTACCACCACTCCCAAATCCGAGAAGTGTGTCTTATAAATTCTGGTCTCAGTGCTGTAGAAAATATATTTTGAAATTTTGTACTTTGAAAACCTATTTTTCAGACTCAGAAAATTAAACTGGAAGAGAATTTTAATTCGCCATCGAGAAGACATTCCTTTTGATAGTACAAAGGATGAAATGGAAAAACAACGGATATTTTCCATTTTTGAAGAAAAGGTCTTCAGTGTCCATGGAGCCAGAGGAAACCACATGGACTTTGGTCAACTGTATCAGTTCTTAAATGCCAGGGGACGTGGGGATGTTTTCCAGATGTTCTTTGGGGTGGAAGGACAGTGACTGAGCAGAGGGGTGGTTGGATGTTCTTTCTTTGATTGTTTCTTCCCATTCTTGCCTGGATTTTCATTTTAGTTCCATTCTAGAAAGTTACAGAATCGGGGGCATGAGAAGACAATTAACGTAGTTGAAAAGCATCTGTTAAAACATGCCATGACTGAAAAAAGAACTGAGTTTCAAGTTAGCAACTTTAAATTACCAATAGAGAAGGCTGGAGAAATAGGCCAGAGGTTAAGAGCATATATTGCTGTCACTGAGGACCTAAGTTCAGTGCCCAGCACCCATGGCAGGCAGCTCATAATCACCTATAATTCAGAACTTCAGGGTATCTGATGACCTCTGTCCTCCGCAAGGGTGCGTGCACAAACATAGGCACATACAAATATCAGGGCATCAGATCTCCCGGATGTGGACTTAAAGGAAGTTGTGAGTTGCCCAGTGTGGGTACTGGGAACCAAACTTGAGTCCTCAACAAGAGCAAGGCATACTTTTAACCACTGAGCCATCTCTCCAACCTGTTGGAAACTTTTGACATGAGCTGGCCATGATGGCACATGCTTGTAATCCCAGCACTTGGGAAGTAGAGGAAAGAGGATCAGGAGTTCAAGGCCACCTTGGGCTACATAAGGCTCTGTCTTAAAAACCAAAACCAAGGGGTTGGGGATTTAGCTCAGTGGTAGAGTGCTTGTCTAGCAAGCGCAAGGCCCTGGGTTCGGTCCTCAGCTCTGAAAAAATTAAAATAAAAATAAAAAAGTTTCAAAAAAAACCCCCCAAAACCAAAGTTATTCATAGAAACTTGAAAGACAAATTATTTGTGAAGGTAATTTTGGTGGTTCAACTTGCTAGGCATTTCCCACACCCTTCTGCCTTTACTGAGGAACCTGGGAAAGCTGTCTGCTCTTGGCCTCTCTTGCAGCTATATCGGGCTGTAGGTTACAGCTGCAGGATTTCAGGGGAGGAATTTGCTTCTCTTTGTGCCATGAATCCTGCAGCAATGGCAGGAGAAGGGAAGGATGGTCCAAGACAACTACAGAGAAGCCAGTCCTACTTGTCATGTGCCGACCCAACACTAATCCTTGGTGATCTTCAGACCTTTGAAGTGATGACTTTTTAAAGTCTCTGTGTTTGTTAGCAGCAGCCAAATGTTAATCTGTCAGATTTTTTTTTCAAAGCTTTGGCTTTGAAACTATAATATACAAGCAGTAAAGTTATCCTCAGCAGTATTTATGGTTCATTTCTTTTTTTTCTTTATTAAGCGATTTTTTATTCATTTTACATAACAACCACAGACCCCCCCTCTTCCCTCCTCCCGATCCCTCCCCCAGCCTTCCCCCTGAACCCACTCCCCATTCCTTCCTCCAAAAAGGTAAGCCCCCCCCCCATGGGGAGTCAGCAAAGCCTGGTACATTGTTTGAGGCAGGTCCAAGCCCCTCCCCCTGCATCAAGGCTGTGCAAGGTGTCCCACCATAGGTAGTGGCCTCCAAAAAGCCCTCTCATGTACCAGGGATGGATCCTGATCCTACTGTCAGGGGCCCCTTAAGCAGACCAAGTTACACAACTGTCTCGCTTATGCAGAGGGCCTAGTCCAGTCCCATGGAGCCTCCACAGCTGTTGGTCTAAAGTTATGAATTCCCACTAGTTTGGTTCGATTGTATCTGTAGATTTCCCCATCATGATCTTGATGCCCCTTGCTCATAGAATCCCTCTTCCCTCTCCTTGGAGCTCAGCCAGCCTGTTGCTTGGCTGTGGCTCTCTGCATCTGTGGTGAGATCCTGTTCCAAAAAAAATTTTTTTTTCTTTGAAAATTAGCAAAATTGAAAAGATGTGAGCATGGTAGCCTATAATTCCAGCACTTTGGAGGCTGAGGCAAGAGAATGGAAAATTTGAAGACATTTTGGGTTACAGAGTGAGAACTTGTCTCAAACAGATGAAGTACACACATCCTATTATGGTACAGCATATGCAATGCCCTCATCATTGGGCTCCATCATAAAAAAGTTGAGAAATGGAACATCAGAATGCTTCAACATTTTCCTTTGCACCATATAATCACTAGTGCTTATTATTATTTTGCCTACATAATACTAGAAAAGCCTCCTATGTTAGGTTTTAGAGTATGAGAGAAGAAGAGGGGGCTCAGGAGAGAGGCGCCCAGTGAGACCACTCTTCAGATACTGTTACCACCACTCCTCATACCCCACAAGCGCTCTCTCTCTCTCTCTCTCTCTCTCTCTCTCTCTCTCTCTCTCACACACACACACACACACACACACACACACACACACAATTTACAATAAAGTAAATCTTTAAAATAGAAAAAAATCAATCTAAGTTCATATTTCTCTAATGGGCATATAATTGGATTCAAACAAGAGCCACACATCTTATTTGCATGATGTCTGAGGTCTTATTAAGTATGTTGTTTTTCCTCACCCACTCCTGCTAATGTATTTGTTAAACCGTCTCTCTTGTAAAAATTTTCTCATTCTGAATTCTTTGGCTGTGCCAATGTCGTTTTTTTTTTTTT